CCCCGACTAGAAGCAAACACTAACAAGTGTGTAATCAACAGATACAAGATGATTGTCAGAATTAATGGTCTACAGGGATGTATGTATGTGTGTGTTATGTATGTATGTGTGTGTTATGTATGTGTGTGTGTGTTATGTATGTGTGTTATGTATGTGTGTGTGTGTTATGTGTGTTATGTGTGTGTGTGTGCGTGAGCGCGTGTGCATTATTATGCATGCATGCTGATGCTTGGGTTTACCCATTATCCTAATATCTGAAGCAGCTGTTCAAGAGGAACGCATGAAATTGTAGCCAAATTTTATGAAAGATAACTTTAACTGGTACATGCATGAACATGAAAACTATTGATAACAAAAACCAGGCAGGACTTTTTTTTGTCAGATAGCAAGCGTCAGCACCAGACTATATTCAGTCACAGCTGTCAGCTTTTTATATGAAAGGATTACTGAAACGCGGTGATAAGAATATGCGTCCTCAAATCGATTAAGTTTTCCTACTACACACAGGCATCTGTCACTTAAACAGACCAGATAAATAGACAAGTGTTTGTTTGCTGCTTAACGTTCCACCAAGTAATATTCACGTCCTGAGTTACGCATTAGTGCAACGCAATTTCCAAGTTCAAAAAGGGTTTTATACAAATACCATGAAGATGTGTGTGATAGATCTTGACATTAAGAAATGTCTCGTTTATCGCTCCTGTACGTTTCTATTGAATCATAACTCCGTTGTTAACATTTCAGCAAAACATTTTAAAACTTGACAGACAGATTTTCCGCCATGAAATGATGACATCGTTTATCACCCCAATTTGTCTTCAATACATGATATGTCGTCATTTTTATTCATTAAAAAAACGTTCTCATCGACTCCATCAGAGTGGAATCGACAAATTCCTTTCCACATTGATAAGAAATCTCTGCTAAAAGATTTTCCTCAGCCCTTGGGTTAAAACCGAGCATTGTTCTAAAACTGCTTGATCAAAGTTGCAACAGTCAGGTCCCCAGTAAAGAGTCTTATTGAAGACGTTTCCAAACTTCATGCATCAGTAGCCAAATAGATTGTAAATTCCCCGAATTTGACTAAGGTTGAAAAAACTCACTAAAACCACATGTTTCCGTGTTGTGTTTCTATATATACATATCCACATAAACATACACATACACATACACATAAAGATATACATACACACACACACACACACACACACACACACATATAAATACACGCACATAATGATACACATACACATAAAGATATACATAAAGATATACATACACATACCCACACACATATATATATATATATATATACATATAAAGATAGACATACATATACATATACACATTCATATACACATACACATACATATGCACATAAAGATACACATGCGCATAAAGATACACTTAAAGATAAACATACACAAACATTTAAACATACACATACATGTACAGATACACAAGATTGAAAACATTCAGTAAAACGTTCTGAACGTTTTATGGTACACATAAATTACCTATTATGTCCGATGCAATTCCCAGCTTTGACTTGTGCCATACGTTCCCGAATACTTCAGCTGAACAAAAGACTAGACATTGCATATCTTTATGATGGACTCTACACTAACACCTGGTATTATCACCATCTGATAGTGATTCATTAATACATTATCTGCCATCGTATCGCACGGTGAGAATCACTGGATTGTCTGGTCTAGACTCGATCGTAAGAATTGTAATACTGCGGAAACAAACCCCTAATAATGATGTACATTTATTCAGAATTGTACAATCGACCTGCTTTTAGCAGTGATTCTTATGGATGACAACAGCAGAGAAGGGAACAGATTGCATTGTTAGATTTGGCCGTCCAAACCGATCGATTACCTGTCATATGAAGACGCTATAGTGTTGTTGTACAATTGGCAAACATTCACTCACTGCTGTCATTGGATGAATATCACATGGTACGTATACGTGGTTGACGTAGCATAAATATCGTCCAGACCTTCGCTTGAACGTAGTTGGGCACATTAGGTATGCATGCATGCAATCACATGTGAGTCACTTCCACCTGATGTACGCACAACAAGCTTCCAGATGCCATGCTACTATGTGATTACTGTGGGGATGAAATACTATCAAACTCTGAACGTGTAACTGTGTATCAGAGGGATGAGGACGTGTGTTATGTACCCCAAGGTGGACATGTACCTGAAGGGTGTGAACAAGTAACTGTTTCTGTGCACGGTGATAGTGTGACATATACCAGCCAGGGATGGAACGCACGAAGAGGCTTTGAACCTGTTTCTGTCTATGTCAAGGAACAAGGAGTAATATATTCTAGAGGATCCACAATAGTAACAGGTTTTATCCCTGTATCTGTATATGCCAAAAAACAATGCAATGATATATATCCCTACAACAAGCCATCCAAACCCCAGCAGCTCGTTCACATCGCGTGTTTAAAGTGAGTATATCAAACAACGATATTTAGTGTTGAAAGTTTTTTTCTAGTTTGATGAAAAAGTTAGCATTGTGTTCTTTCACCCTATTTGCAAATATGTGAAATATATCAATCAAATGTAATCGTATCGGACGTTTGATATTATCCAGGAACTGCTTGACATATACTCAAAGGCAAAAAATATTGTAATTAACTTGAGTGGGTTTTGACGATCTGAGACAAAAACGTAATTTTTATCTTTGACATCATTAGAAGTTTTAATTTTACTAACCTTGAGTGATAAAGGATACATTCATGTATTTCATACAAAAATATCCAGTGTTCCTCACAAAATAACGTGGATGACATCGCAACGGGGAAGCTGTTGCCGCTCTCAACATTTGGGCATTTTGTATGGCTTTTCGACGGTGTAGTTCGGAGCTTATAATCACTGGTATGGCGCACAGTTCAAAAACCCATTCCACACAACGATACACATTATCAGCTTCTCATAGAAATAACTTCACAGTTAATAGAATGCAGTTAACCTTCCAAAAATAACATGTAAAGAAAGTCACAACTTGGGGAAGTTAATAGCATTTTCAATTAAAGATCAAATTGTTCACATTTTCACTCACGATTTTATTCTTCTATATGAGTGCAGTGGGGGCAATAAAAAGATGCATATCTCCCGAACGCGGACTTCAGTACAGAACTGTAAATGTACCCGGTGATCACAGGATGAAATCTTCACCCGTTTGACAAACACTACTCCGCGATAGTATTTCATTTGAGCAGACGCATCACTTTTCATCATCATTTTCATGACTTAATCTTTTTGTACACGCTGCCTTTTCCGTTTCCCTCTAGCCAAGTTAACACCGCTCCTCCCTTTACAAGGATTACTCTCCATGGACAACTTCTTCTTTCTACTTTGCTTTTCCTGGTGCTCACGTATACGTGATATGACATCATCATCGGTGATCGCCTTGCCTCTACAACTTTGCTCAAAGTGTTTCTGATCTTGGCTAGATGTACGTTTTTTAGCAGCTCCCCTCCACGAATTTCAAGAAAAGTAACAGCTGCTGACATGTCATCTATCGTGCGTGGAGTCTTTGGAAAAGACAAAGCTGGAGAGACGGACGTGCTTGGAACGACCTCACTGTCTAGGGGACACATCCCTGACTTCCTGAATGAAGATATGCTGTTTGATATAGTCATAGTGGAAGTGTGAACCTTGCAAGCCAACTTGCAAACATCGTACTGGGTGATAACCTTCCCGCCAGTTTGACGCAAGTGTGAATGACATGCTCAGAAATACATTCGGATTCAAAGGGTCCGTAAAACCCAACATCTAGAGGCTGTAGAAGATGACTGTTATGTGGAGGGAGTACAAACAGGATGATGTGGTTCACTCTAGCCCATTCAATGAGACTCAGCGAGACGTGACTTTTGTGACCTTCATACAACACGCAAGTACAGGGTTATCAGACGTGCGTTCAGGAATGAAGTTGAGAAAGTGGTTCTTCATATAGGTAGAGAATATGTATGTATTTGACCGTTCACTTTCTGAGACAGCACCTTCAACTCCAGGTAATGATCCATCCAACAACTCATCCAACATGCGCTTTCTTGGGAAAACCGAAAAAGGCGGGATCGTGGTTTCAGATGCGCTCACAGCTCCAAGCATAGTTACAGTCTGAGATTTATCAGTTGTTATTGCATGCGGCTTGCAGTGTTTTCTAGCAACTATTATATTATATTCTGGACGGAACGACATCTGCAGACAGATCTTTTTCATCAATGTTCCACAGTGACTATAGTTTATCCCTAAGATTGTGTCTCTCAATGATCATAGCTCTCTGAAATAGTTGTTGATGGCTTCTCTTGGAGCGTACCGTGCTACGAACTGACTCCAACTTGCATGCTTTTTGCAACTTTAGGTCAGGATTTTTGTCGATAAAGCTATATAGGCAAAACAAACTTAAAGGGGATGCCTTTTCTCTTAGTCCCAGATTCACAATGTAATCTGAAAGAAGGTTTAAAGTCTCAATTCTCGTGTACCCATAACCAATTTCACCCAGCTAGCTAAAAGGGCTCCTTGTTCTTGAGAAAACATTGGTTGAGGTCCAGATTTTACAGTGTCAATGCCTGCTCGAGGTTTAGAGCCACACTTTTTAAAGGGCCTTTTATCCTTTGACTTCTTGAAAGCACGAAACGCATGCAAAACATGAACTACCGACAGGGTCCTGTTTGTGTTATGGATTAAGTGTATCATAAAGAATATTAAAAATGCGTTATAAAACATGTTTTCATTGATATAAACAAATGTGTTGATCACACTAATATTGGCCTTTGAATATATTAGTACATAACAAAGTGACTAAAAACTGTTGAAGACACAATCAGGTCAATCAGCGTGGATAACACACTAATATATTCTCAACGAATACTTGAACGGAACAAACGCATGCTACATGGTGTGTTTGGTAGTTTGGTCCTTACACGCTTGGTATATATCAGTTTACAAAGCCGGTTTCTTTTTCCTTTTCAGTGAATATATTCCACGTTGTGAGAAGGCAGTTTCTAAATTCCTACAGTATGCGTCATCGACAGCAAACATCCTGTCCATAGGGATCCACGTGAAATACCTGTATGGAGTAGGACAAGGAGAAGACAACAAAAAGAAGAAAAGGGAGAAAAGAGATTGTAAAATCCGCCAGTTGTTGGAGAAGGTGTCCGCTTTGAGAAACTCCAACTCTGGATATATACTGATTCATCTTGTTGGTCTGGCACCTGGGGATTCTTTCACTGGCGCTTTCGATGAGTTTGTGGATACAAAGCTCCACGACTTGATTCATGATGGTCAGTTATTTACTAACGTGTACCGGAAGGACAAGCTGAGTCACCACAGCAAGCTTCGTGATTTCCATGACTTTCTAGCTCTTTACGTTAGTGCTTCTTCCATCGTGACTACAGCTGACTTTAACACAAAGCTTGCACTTGACGACTGTATTGTAGACATTCCTGTGGAGACGCTACGTACATTTATCAGAAGAAGGGGAGAATTCGAAGGAACATTTCACACTGTTCTTACTGAAATAAATACTGTTCATGATGTTGTGAGTGCACACGAAAACAGGTCAGTTCAACTGAAAAGTCACTTTCTCAAAAAGAAGGGAGATCAGGAAATAGTTTCTCACATCATTAAAAATCTTAAACTTACTGAGTACGTAAGTGCACTGAGTAAACTCGAAAATGGAGGTTCATTTCTATATGGAGTGAAAGAAGAATGTGTTTTTAAAACGGAATATGGATACGAGACCAAAGAAATCCAAATTCAACCTGTTCGCGTGGACCATGCAGGTAATTTACAGGATATACTGAAGGAGAAGATTTGCGAGACTGTTCTTGTGTGTGACTTTGATGGAAAGCAACTTACTGAACGTACAGTTGACATTCGTTTTATCCCCTGCCCCACGAAACGAAAAGAGTCGTGTTGCAATGATAGCATTAGGAATCACAACTCAGAAACAGCTGGGCAGTTCATTATTCATATCTTAGTTAAACCCGTGAATGGCGTGGTGTTTTATGATCCACGGGGGCCATTGGCTTACAAAAAATGATCCCACAAACAAGTCAATCACCCGGATGGAATTCCATGAATGGTTCCGTGCTTTCACAAAACCTCTGGGAAACAAGGCATAGCTGAGGCAGCTGATAAAGCAGGTAACAGATCTCATCTGATTATTCATTGTTTACTATGCATGTTCTGCGGTTTGTGAATGACAATTCATTCAAAATTAATTTCATAATTTCGTTGTTATAAAACCTCATTCATGAACTGAGATAAAAAATATATACCCAAAATCTGCTGGAAAAATAAGTTCACTTGAAATATGTGCATACAAGTATGAAATGTGAGATGTAATGTAGGATGTTCCATGAAAAAGTGTGCCCCATTTATAAATTGTTTCTGAGTGAGATTACAATCGTTATCCCAGAGGCTCAAGAGGCTTTTTTAAACCAGTTTTTACACCCAGCAAACCGCTGTCCTCAATTGAATTAACTGCAAAGTGATAATTAGAGAATAACCAACGAGGTACGAGTGATTACGGGAAATATGGCCGAGTTGACATAATGTTCACAGTGCCGAGCCTTGGCGAGGCACTGAACATTATTTTAACGAGGGCATATTTCCCGTAATCACTCGTACCTCGTTGGTTACTCTATTTATTACCCATAATGTAATTTAAAAGGAAGAGCCACGAAATAAAAACCACCCGGAGACAGGACTTGTGACCTTAAACAGCTGATTCGTATTCATGCGCGTATTAAACCTAACTTTCTCCAGCGGTAATAACATAACTTCGCTATGGAAATAGTACATCATAAAATCGCTTTAAAATACAACAAAATTATTATGCCTGGAATAATTGATTAACATTTGTTAATATGATAAAAATGATCTTTTAAATATATCATTGAAACACACTCTGGCAAAAACCTTTCAATTTTTGGGAAAGTCAACGGTTAAAAGTTGGGAAATCTAAAAGACAACCATCCCACGAATACATCTAGAAAAAGTTTTCTATCAAGAAACTCAACAACTTTGCAGATAAAACAACATTTTGTTCTGTGGAAGGCGTGTTACACTCTCGTCTTAGTAGAGTACAGCAGTTCCAAGAAGGATAACTCTAGTCGGAATCCGAGTCTATGAAATGTGTCAATCTCTGCATCGGCCACTGGGACCAACCTCTCAGATTGATTAGGAATGCATGGATATAAAATGTCATCTTGAAGAAGAACATTTAGCACTGATTCCGGTAAGAAAGGAGCTGTTTTCTGGTTCGATGGCATGGACGCCGTGTCCGACTTACTTGTTACACTTTCAGTTAACATTTTTAGTCGGTATCTTGCTGTTTCTATGTCCCCGAATTCAGTTTCAACAACAAACAGGTTTTGGGAATTCAAGGGCTGTAAAATTCTTATCACTCTTCCTATTTGGTCACCGTCAACTTTAACTAGGTAAGGGACCTTGATCGGGGTTAGCCTAACGGCGGCCATGTTTGTTTACAAACAATGCAAACGATTGTTTGGTGTTTTTTTCAAAGATTATATAATTTAAAAAGACTGGTGCTATTTACAACGCAGTTTTATTCCAAAATAATAACGTCTAATAAAAAGAATGTTCATATTCTTTAACCTTCACGTTTTCTTTTTTAGATCTCGGAATGTGTGATTACATTACATAATGTCAATTTATCAATGAATCCATGAAACTTTATGAATGAACGTAGTGTGTGAAAGTAGTTCCGGCATCCAATGAAAATGTACAAATATACGATCAACCAATCAACGTCGAGAATCACTAAATTGCACATTGTGCAAATATCAAAAAGATATTACACGGGATCTCCTCACCCGTATGGGTAATAATCAACCATATTTGCCGAGGATCAAAGTCTGATAAAATAGGTCTCAATGCTTAATACAGTATAGATTAGACAGACAGAAGAAATTGCTTTTCTCTTGATAAATTTCCAATCTATGCATTGTTTTTCCAGGTCAAATCCTTATCCCTATGAAAATGTGGAAGCTGCTGGTATGAATAGTTTCTGTCCTTATAAGAATTAACTGATTCTCATTTGTATACGAATTCTATGTGTAAAATCTCTTTGTACATTTAACATATACGAAACTTCTTTAAAATGATTTTCTTGAAAAGACATCTTTGTTATGAAAATTTATGATTTTTATGTTTCCGTTGAACTTTCCAGAATGAAATCGCAATAGAGAAAGAGAATGACGTAGCCTTGGCAACGAACGACTTCTTCAGACCTGACCTGAAGCAAATTGGAAACAGCATCTTTGAGATCAAGAAATACTTCATTGACGAAGGTAATCTAACTGTGAGAATGAATTAGTTGACATTTTTGGCCGTGTTGCTAAAGTCGTTGTCGAAAATCTTCTCCTTTATCAACTTGTGACAAAAGAATTATTTGTTGAGACTAGGAATCGGAGGCTAAATACACATCACTGAACGCTTGTTCTTTAAAGTTTTAATCATGTCAAAAGAGAAGTTGGCGTTATGTTTTGGGGAACTTGTGAGTGGTACCGTTGTCCCAAAATACAGATGTTTCAAAACAGTTCTCTCATTCTTTCAGATACACAAAACATGGGATTATTCTAACCATTAAGGCTTAAATTCAGAAAAATGAGACTACTCTTTTCTTTTTTCAGGAGTTCAAACGGTAGCACCATCAAACCTTGAAGACTCTTTGGCAGAAGTGAAAGACTGCCTCTTAGGACTGACACAAAACCATGCATTTGTCTTAGGTCTTGATCCCAGAACTGATAAAGAAGTAGAAAACAAGAACTATCCAAAGAGTGAACCATGTTTCATGTTCTTATCAGAAACTTTATCATTTGCTCTGGATTTTGCGACATCGTGCCGTCCAAATATTGTCGTGTGTGATGTGTTCATAGCCTTCCCTTCCATGCCAACCATGGTCCTGTCAGTCGTTGATGGGGACGAAGATTCGGAGGAAGCGCTGGTATACAACACGTCTGTGGCAAGAGGTGTCAGAGATAAACTTCTCAGATTTATGGACGAAGATGTGAACTCAATACACGGCGTGATAAACACGTCGACTCTCAAGGACAGTGTCGTATTCAACACTCGCCTGAAGACTCTGACAAACGACTCCTTTCGTTTTGTTCCAAAATATTCATTGCTAATGAATACTAGAAGACATGATAGGATCCTCACAGCTTTTTGGGCAGGTGTTGCTGAAACAAAGTCGGTTCTGAAAGAAGAAAGTGGAGACACCGATGGCGACTATCTGAGATTTCTCACCAAAGAACAATGTATCATTCTGGTGGAGAACATAAACAGTAAGGACGTCGAGGTCAAGTGTATGCCCGGTAGTGGAGCCACGACTCTGATGCTGGAGGTGGCCAGGAGACTGAACAGACTTGGGGACACTCTGCTTGTATGTAGGTCACGACAGGAGAGGGACAGGCTCAGGTTTGTATCTTAAAATACAGTCAACAAACGATGTACAAGGACTTAATTATTTTCTGTTTGTGTCAATGACTTAATGGTAACCATTTACAGGTCCGTCTGTCCATCGGCGGTGTCCGTGAATGACCTCAGCCATCTTGATCTGTCCCCAAACATGAACATTGTTGATGAAACAAACAGTGTCCCCCCTGAAACAAGGCGTCACCGTTGGCAATTTACAAGATGTAAGTACCCATATATAAAAATGTACTTCATTTTTGTTAATAAGCTCACATGCAATAACCTCCTGAACATTGTGTAGATATGCTGGACTTAATCACTGATTCATCATAGATATGCACAATGCTTTTAAATGGTCTGTTATAAATAAACTACTCTACTAATTATGCATAAGTTACAAGAGCGCTTTTTGTACTTCAGATGTAACTGATATCAAGCAGTTCGAGGACAGGAAGTGGGTGCTCGAGAGGGTAATGTACAGTATAGTTTTGTTGTGTACATAAACTAGTGGAATGTACTCTATGTACCTCCATCAATCAAATACTCTTGATGATGTTCATGAGAAAGATAATACTACCTTATGCATTATTTCTTTAGAACATTAATGATTGTACAAATAATGTTAACTTTCAAAAGTAATTTAAAGTTATTACGAGCTAAATGTAATCCTAGGCAATATTTATATATCCATTGATATCATTCATATTTATTCGTTGTCATTTTTTGTTATAAACAATCTGTTCATTGTATTCTTCAGGAGATTGACAGTAAGGAGAAACTCATGGATGTATTTGCAAATGGTAATTATTTTACCAATGAATGATATCATATCTTAGCACATAATTTAGAATTGTGGATTGATGGGTACTGATGACATACATACTGATGGTTATGATGGCGCTTTGTGAGAGGTACGATATCATGTTTACTTTCCCTATTTTGTCTCAGAATAACAATTTCATTACACTGCTTCAGATATATGGAGACGAAAGATGGGATATCTTCTTGGAGACTTTGATGTGCTGATACTGCTGTTCGAGAAGATAAAGCCAGATGTTGTAAGTGCAGTAATAATCTTATTAGTCTACATTATTTGTTTGAATCGCAATAATTCTTTTTCTATTTCGCTTTTGCTTTGTAAATGATGACATACATAGGCACAATGAAAATTCAAAGATTATATTATCATCTTTTTCATCTTTACTTTTCAGCGGCACCATCCTTCAAGTGATAATATGTTAACTTATGGAGGATGTGAGTATTCCGAGGATGTTCAGAGGAACGATTTTCCAGTTGTCATCTTCCCTTTATGTTGACTATTGTTCCATCTCTTCCAATCTTTAGTGTCTGTCTCACACTTTTAGATAGAATAGAGCATGCTCTTCTCACTGAGATCTCAAAGAGACCAGTCGCTTGTTTGTTTGGTTAAGGTTTAAACAGTTAGGGTCGTTGCTGTACCATTTAGTATTTAGTTCTGGAAACACAAGAATATATTTATATTAAATACTATGCAGTTGAAAGCCAATATAAGATGCAGTTATTTCACTTTTACTTTAGAGTTTACAGATACATGTGGACTTTATACAATTCGGATTTGTTTTGATGCATTTTGATATGTGTTTTAATTCTCCTTGAAAGATATTTTAATTAATTTTTTTCCAAGTATTTCCTGCATTTACCTTGGGTAAACACGCGGTGACAAAAGAAGCAGAGCTGATAGCATGGCAAGAAAGAGTAGCACACGAGGAGAGTGTTTTCCCGATTTTACGCTCGGTAAGAATCCAAGTCTATATTGGAACAAACTAAACCATATTGTTATTAGACACTCATGAAGCAGGCATTGTGGGGTTTTTCAAACCTCAGTTGTTTCAACTGGGTTTTTCGTTTTATTTCAGGTTATGGTAAAGGATAGAACCAGTCTTATCTACCAAGACGTGAAAATGGCTTTCCTAGAGAAAGGTAAGTAGACATCATCATGTTTCGTCATTGTCCATAACATTGAAGATGTAAATCAACATCAGTCGGTCATTTTAAAATGTTAGCATTAATCTTCTCTATCTTCAATGAATATTATATGATAAAAACGTTTGCAGTTCAATTGTTTTCACCATCAATATATTTCCAGTATAAATTTTAACTGTTTGACTGACACCTATTTCATTATATAATGTATCCTTAATTTTGGAAATCTTAACTGTTCCTTCTGTGTGCGGTTTCATTTCGAAAACACAAATTGTATTTTACAGTCTCAAGAAGAGAAAAGAAAGGACAGGAATCGTCACAGATTTCTGAGACCAATTGTTGGAACCAACAGAATACCGCAAGTGCATTTACGGACATATCCAGCGACGCTAAAGATGGACAGAAGCAACACAACACACATGGCTTCGATGAACTGAATACAACAGATGGCGAAGATGAACAGAACACAGATGGCTCAGATGGTCGTACGTACCTGTCATGTCCATGTCTTCCCAACTTGTAACATACCGATTGACACAGGCATTAACTACTATCCAAAGATTACTGTTCGGAATATATTTCTATTCAACAAAGCTACTCTTTATAGTATTCAAGGCTTAACTATGAATGTACTGCGATGTTCTAATTTAATCGTTAATAGATGATTCCTATGATATGATAATCAATTGTTTCAGGGAAATCGTCTTTCATTTACTGTACATCTTTGTATTTTAAATACATACCTATTCACCTTCTTACACATAAATGAAGGATTTCTGAACACATACCTATTCACCTTCTTACATATAAATGAAGGATTTCTGAATACATACCTATTCACCTTCTTACATATAAATGAAGGATTTCTGCATACATACCTATTCACCTTCTTACATATAAATGAAGGATTTCTGAATACATACCTATTCACCTTCTTACACATAAATGAAGGATTTCTGAATACATAACTATTCACCTTCTTACACATAAATGAAGGATTTCTGAATTCATACCTATTCACCTTCTTACATATGAATGAAGGATTTCTGAAAGATGTCTTTTCATAACAAAGGTTGAATATATACATTGATAAAGACATACATATTCCTGATTGTTTTAGATTCGCAGAAGTTCTGTGTACCAGGGGAGAAAAGCAGAAAGGGGTCTTCTTCAAAAGTAGGTATTTTGCCGTCTGCTACTTCAAATGGTCTCATAATGAGATTTCACTGAATGGTGTTAAATCTATTTAGTAGCATTAGTTCAGTTAAATAGGGTGATAGTCAAATAATTTTCCCCATTTGCTAGCGTGTTTTGTTGCACACATGCCGTGAATCAGGATAACATGTATTACACACACTTTCCATAAAGGCGAATGTCCACACGGACCATTTTCGAGATTAATACTAATTTCAGGAAGCGCTGACAGATAACAACACTGAAGACCAGTTGAACATCCAGGACACAGATGGCGAAGGGTCTGAGGGTCGTGAGTAACTGTATCAATCAACAATTAAAGCTGGTTACATTGTTGTTCTGTTTCTCTTATGTAGTGGTAATTTAAACATATTAAACACGATATATTGAGCCAGTGAAATAATGAAACATCAACGGTTGTAACACAATACTGCATTTCTTTCTTCTTCAGGCATGCAAGACATTGAAGATCTAAATGAAGAACTGGATAGTCTACAATCGGTAGCCATTTACATATTCATGCATACTAGATATGTACACATGAACCCATGCAACTAAATAAACTAAACAAAATATAACACGTTGATAATTGAAGTTGCTAATGTTTCAGACCGATGTAACTGATATACAAGCTTTACATCTTCAACAAAGCAACCTGATAACTTTTTTACCACCATATGATCCAAGCGATGATGGCGGTGATCTTATGCTTCTTCCTCTGCAACTGTTTCAGAACAGAGATCACAGAAGGAGACAACTTCACAAACTACAAACTGACTGTTGGACACTCGGCAAGTGTAGTCTAACTTGTATTAACAGTGATGTTTAGAAATCGTATCATGTACAAGAGAATCAACGACTATAATATAAGGCAAATTACTGTCGAGATACATTATTAGAATGTATTTAACATAATGGTATGCATCGATAACAACAGTCAAGTTCTTGTGGAGAAAAAGCTTGATTCACTTGACCGTGTAAAATTGTATGATCCGTTAGTTTAATAAAATTGCATGCGATAATTAAGTTATGCACATTATATTAACTATTTTCCGTCCTTAAGACGAGTGGCAGAACTCCGTGGACTACTTGATGCGGTACCCGGAAGTTCTATCCCTGTTAAATGTGGAGCTACCAGGAATGGACAGTGTAAACAGTTCCCATCGAGAAGACCAAGATGAAAGCAACTTGCCAAGAGGAATCAAACACAGACAGAGCACATTCTTCACAAAAGACTCAAAACTAAAGGTAACAGTTGTCTTCTCTTTACTATGTATCTTTGGGTTTGTTTGTTTTTATACACTGGACACCCAACAAATCCCCTCATTGCTATATATGTCAAAAGGTCATATTTGAAAATGCAAGGCAATAGATCCAAGGGTAAGTTTTGGTTAGGTCAGGTCTATAGAGAATATACAGATATGCAATTGTGTATTATGTCCACGAAACACTGTTTTGTGATAGCATACCAAAACACAATGATAAATACCCTTCATGTCAATAGTTGTCTGACGTAACATCGAAACTGGTTGAGGTGGAAACGGAAGATGGATATACTGGAGAAGGTATCAATCAGGCTTTGTAAAAACATTGAATAAGATTCCCCACATTGAACCTAAAACTATGCTTCTGTTCGTTCGTTTGTTGTTTAATTCCACACTCAGCAATAGTCCCCCTATATGGCGGAAAAAACTATATAATCCTCTTGCCAAATAAATGTGAATTTGATTGAATGTCAATAGATTGTATTTACTGTTACTTAACATGGAAAAATATAGTAAATGTACAAAACGTCTATACGTCATCATTAATATATGTATCAACACGTTCTATCAACACATTCCATCCTGTGTGACCTTCAGATGGATGTCACAGCACCTTCAGATATACGGGTCTGATTCATCAGTTGAGGAAGTACCAGCACGGTTCCCTGAAGAAAGGCGATTTAACTGCACTCACACTTAAGGTAAAAACATGGACAAGGTGAAACAGGGTCGCATGCTCATGATATGGTTTGATTTGTACTATCATTCTGCTTTTGGCAGAGAGTTCGTACGCATACTGAAAGGGTTAAGTCGCATTTTAACTGTTTATTAACATACAAAAAGTGTAAAGACCATATAATTTTCAAAGTATTATGCTATAGTTTGTCACATTGTGAAGCTTTTCGGTGTTTCTGAACGTTCGTCTACTATATATTCCAGGTAATGGCAGAGGACGGGCAGCAACTCGCAGATCTGACGACAAAGAATCACACCTTGGAAAAGGGTGTGTACATTTTACAAACATAACTTACCTGAATAATTCTTTAATGTAGCACCTGGTAACATATATTAATATATATGTGAAATGTGATGTTTTCGTGTTTCCTCAGAACACATTTTTCCTGCGTTAAATTGTTATTGTTTGTTTGTTTGTTGTATAACGCTATTTCTGCAATATTCCGGAAATGTGGCGCTGGTCTGCATATAATCGAATCTGGACCAGACAATCCAATGACATTATGAGAGTCAACACAATCAACATAGTCTCAAGTCTCATAGCCTGGCCACCCACTGAATTTAAGCTCCTCGACCAATGTAAAAATTAAACTGCTGGAGTAACTTAAGACACCCGTAATATCTGAAGATCTACTTATCTGTAAGCCTGTGCAATATTACCGGTAAACCGGTATATACCGTACAGTATCTCGTTATACGATTATCGCGATATGGTTCAGATTCAGCCATATAGACTAATATATTAGGTCATCCAGAGTTAGCTGCCTTTGAATTGTCTACCCTTGATTTCCATAGCTCTGAAAGTGCCAAAATACATCTATTTCTGTTGGTTTCATGTAACATTTTACAAGTGGGGGTATCTTTATAAGTGGCTAAAAAGGTGCCGAATATTCTACCAAATGCTTTAATTTTTTTGGGTTTGAATGGTTTCATATGTGACATTTTGGACTAATTGGACTCGAATGGACCAATTTCTATTTGGACTTATCAGTCGAGCCTCTGGCACTGAATGACCATATCACAATTCACAATATTTTCGTTTGTTTCCATAATGGGACATTTGTTATCAATTTATCATAAAGGCCCATTCTTTCATATGGAGCCGCTGTTTGGGGAACACGGCAGTATAGTTGTATTAATGCTGTTCAACATCGGGCAGACAGATTCTTCTTAGCCCTCGCTAGCAAAACTCCAAAGTTAGGAGTTCATGGCGAAATGGGCTGGGTTTCTCGGTATACGAAACAAAAAATTGAGGTTTTTCGTTTTTGGCGTAAACTTCATTTACTTGAATTCAGTAGATTATCTAGTGTTATTGGTAGATGGTCATTTATTTGAAGGAGATCTTGGTATATTGGAGCTCATAAATTATTAGTTAGTTTTCATTTACCTATAAATGACCTGTTTCGTATTTCACATGAGGAGTTTGTTGTTGCTAAAGAACATCTTAAGGCGTTAGACCGTTTTGATTGGTTTTCAGGGTTTTGGAATGATAAACGGCAGGACAATGGAAATAAATTACGTACTTATCGTCTTTTTAAAGATTTATTACAGGTTGAACATTATGCTGAAATAATTCTACCTAGATCACATAGTATTATCTTGAGTAAATTCCGTTGTGGCACTTTGCCATTAGAGGTAGAACTGGGTAGATATTCTCGTCCGAAGTCTCCTCTTCTTGAAAGGGTTTGTACTCGCTGTAGTAGCAAAGCTTTTGAGGACGAATTACATTTTCTGGTTAACTGTGATTATTATTCAGATCTCAGATATAACCTTTGGAAAGAAATATCCAGTGTCCATCCTACATTCCCATCTATTTCAGCAGTAGACAAAATGATACTTTTACTTACAAATAACCAGTTCGTAAAGCTCCTTGCCGCACTCCTCCATACTATGTTTGGCGCCGAAATATTTCCGTAGAAAAGTTTAATCTATAATGTAATTTGATAATAATGTCAACATGTTTGCTATTTATGTAATTTATGCTTTTTAGCGCAGGGAAGTGAATGTGTGTGTAGGCTCGTGCGCTTGTGTGTGCGCACTTGTGTGTGTGCATGCATGCGTTTGTATTTGTGTATATGTGTGGACTTGCGTGTATATACGTTTGGGTATGATTTTATTACCAATGTTTTTATACAACTGTGACATCTGTGTTTAATAGGCCTTATGGCCGGATGCTGCTTTTAAATTCCTGTAATAATGTAATGTCTTTTTTTTTTTATGAATTCGAGCATGTGACGCGTTAATATTTCTTCTTCTTCTTCCTAAGTCTTATAAACTTTGTAGGACTGTATAATGCCATTTGAGTCAAGGATCTTAGTTATTGGAGGTCACATGAGATTTATACCTCAAGTAGTTCACCTAAGTCATGTTTTTGTTTCATTTTGCAACAGTACATGTTAACGCATATTTATGTTGTAGTTAAATCTACATTAAAGTTCTATATCATTTTATTTATCTGTCAACCATTGACATACAGCCATACACAATGGGGACGCGGAGCCTTAAAGTATGGTGTAACAGCAACTAAGAAGATGATGTCGCACACAGAAAGCTATTATGAATTTATGTTGTACACACTTGGGCAGAAACCTTCCAGTCAATATATCACAATATGTTTTGCAATATCTCTTACATTATTGCAATATATCGAAATATGAGAATCAGGGCAATATCCAGCCCTACTTATCGGTTACCTCTTATAGTGCAAATGCAAATGCAAATTTCGACCCGATGAATAAAGAGATAATATAAAGTTAAACAATGTTTTACATTCACGTTTCAGGTTTTGGACGCCCTCTACATGTTTTGGGAATGGAAAGGCGGCCTTCACCCATTTCATGTATGTATTTCTAGGAGTGTGTGAGAAAGTGAGTGGAAGTTTGAATTAAAGTAAAATTGAAAGTTTAAAAAGATCATAGGCATGTGTCTAGAAATGTCACATTCAGAACAGCCATGTCCTCGGCCAAGAGTGACATTGTTGTTAGTGAGTTAAGTACAACTGGGAGATAACCTTAGCACAAATACATTTTTGCGACGTAGCTGGCATATAAGTTCGTGACAGTTACGCGTTCTCACGTGGAATCATAATATTAAGATATTATATTAAAATAATTTGTAATAACTGAAGCTAACATAAAATATTAGCAAAAATCTTTTCTGTAAGAAATAGTTTCTAGTTTCTGTAATGTTGAGGAGAATTTACGAATCATACTATATCACACAGAAACGCAATATATTTGTCACACGAAATCATAATATTTATTCTGAAACAGAATTATTATATATATATTCTCAAACAGAACCATAATATATATTCTAAAACAGAATCATACTATTTATTCTTAAACTGAATCATTATGTTCCTTGAGAGGCATTTTAGAAGTTGTAAAGATGAAGGAAAACCAAGTTCTATGTAAAGTCAGCTTCTTTATTGCAATGAGTGCATGCGACAATATCATTATGTTTATTCTAAAACAGAATCATAATATATATTCTAAAACAGAATCATAACGTATAATCTCCTATAGAATCAGAATAGTTTTACTCAAACAGAATCAGAATATTTATTCTCAAACCAGCTGAGGTGTCTTCTCCATGTGGGGCGGTGGGGTAGCCTAGTGGGTAAAGCTTTGGCTTGTCACGCCGAAGACCCAGGTTCGAATCCCCACATGGGTACAATGTGTGAAGTCCATTTCTGGTGTTCTCCGCCGTGATGTTGCTGGAATATTGCTAAAAACGGCATAAAACCAAACTCAGTCAGTCAGTCAGTCTTCTCCATCTCATCTCTGGCTGTACTGCGAAGCTTCTAAACATAACTGAAACGGACATAAAATACTAGAAGAACTCTGTTCTTTGATAAAAAAAGTTTCCACTCCAACCTTTCAATCAGGCTGAATTTGTCTCTCAGGTGAAATTTCTATCTAGAATATACACTTGGATTATTCAAAATTAACTTTCAGCCAATGATACTTAGTCTCTTTGTATTTTGGCAATTTCAACTGACCGATGAACATAGCTGTAGCAAATTAGGAGCCACGTGACCATGTGGGTAATCCGATATAATTGTCCCGGTTTACTTCACAGTTCTTGCGGAAATCGAGTTTTGCGTTATTTTACAACTTTATAAGTTGAATTTGCAATTTTGATAATTTGTTACTGTATGTCCATACCGAAAGGTATCAGAATCTGCAAAGTTGTGTTTTGCGTTGCATGTAAGTTGTAAAATATAAAGTCAATAGTGAGTGAGTATGGTTTTACGCCGCAGTTAGCAATATTCCAGCAATGTCACGGTGGAGAACACCAGAAGTGGGCTTCACACATTGTACCCATGTGGGGTCTTCGGCGTGACGAGTGGGCGCTTTAAATAACCACTATAAAATCTAGGCCTAGGCTACCCCACCGCCCCCTAAATTCAACTTTTATACTTTTATAATTTTACCAGTTTTTCATAAAATCACTACAAAGGACCATGTTTCCTCCGTCCGTCACTATTACTTCTTTTCCAGACATGACAAAAACCTTTGATATGAAATGTCATGTACTCGAGATGAGAGTACCGTATTTGCGATACGAGTACCGATCTCTGAGAGAAGCAACTCTCTAACAGACGGAGGTATGGTCATCGTGATGCTCTTGAAATCAGCTTCACCCACCCCCCAACCCACACCACCACCCCATCCAACTCAGTTTTGTGGAACACTAAACGAGTTGTTTATAGAGAACATTGATGCTGTAAGAGTCATATAGCCCCGAACAAAGATATATATGTTCGCACTAACAGGTTATCAAATAACTAAACTATAAATATTGTTATAGACACACAATATAAATGATAAAATCAATCTTTCAGACTGAAAGGTCAAACTAATATCTGAAAATAGTTTGTAGTCATTTTCACACAACCAGTTCAATGTTCCATTTATTCAAACATTAGAACAACACCAATGTAAACGAATGTTTAAAAGCATCTTCCTTTAGTGCAGTAACAAATCGTTTCTTATGCTAGTGGTATAAAACCAGATGTCATTCCATATAGAAACGACTCAGAAAGTTGACAAAGTTTGGACATCCATCTCTGACCAGCGTTAGTAAACATATCGCGACACACTGACTGACGGTGTAACTGTGAAAATGACTGAAGCGGACATAGAAGTTACCTGTTCATGTGGTGTACGATGAACACAGAAATGTCAAAACTACCCTAATACACGACACTGTTAAGTTTATTTGTTTATATAATGTGACAAATTCATATAGAATCTACAGACAAACACTTTTGTTGAGAAATCCATTTACTGAGATCGTATTTTACTCCCGAACATCGTCCACGTCTTGCAGATATCACAACAATGGGGGTAAATCAAAAGTGTACTAAAAATTCTTTTATATTACGTTTTTCTGTAAACTAATCCACTTGTTTCTTAATGAAATGCATTTTGAATTCTCGTAGTAATAGTTTTACGTAATAACTCGTAAAACTAATATAGCTCAGTAGTGGGAGATATTCTACACAGATGAAAAACACAGACGGACATTCAGCGCACTGTTTGGAAACAATCCACAATCAGCCGATATTTTAGTAAATATCTTTCTGTGTCTCAGTTTGTGACAAACAGTGAAATAAACTTGCTACACAACAAATACAATGTTTATTTCCAGGTCCTAAACTCCACCTGGACGCGGCACGGGCGAACACAGACGAGTGCCACGTAACAACAGACGGTCAGTTGGTCAACTCGCGGTCCGACACACGGGATGTGGGGCAGAACACACTACAGAAGTACTGGGGGACCTCTAACTCCCCCATCCCCCTTATTCCATCCTCCTCCACCCTCACACCCCTACCCACCACCCCCAGGTACTGGGAGACAGAAACCAGGGTGAGGGTGGGTGGTGGGCTGTCACTGACAATCCTGGAGATGGGACTGTGTGAGGCAGGACGGGTGGACAGTGAGATATTGGTTTCTTACCAGCACCGCACCTGGTGTGTCCGAGTACAGAGATGTAACAGACACGGGGGGAGTATCTGTACCAGGGTGTGGAGGAAGGAGGAGCGGGGCAAGTGTCACCAGAACACCATGTCCCACGCTCCCGGCACACAGGCCACCCTCCACTATGGCGTTGTACTGGATGTGGGGAGGGGACGAGTGGCATTCATTGACCTTGACAGACAGGTTGTTCTAGACAAGTATAACGTTCAGTTCAATGAGCCACTCGTCCCCATGTTTGGTGTTGGGTCGTGTATGTCTGGCCACACTGTGTCCATGAGTCTGATCAGCGGGGAGGACATCAACATGACTGACACAAAGAAGGCTCTCATCTACCAAGCGCTGAAATAGAAAATTACCTGGCCATGAAACTGTGAAATCGGCCATGAAACCGTATGAAGTCAGCCCTGAGGCTGTGTGAAGTTATCTGTGTAACGGAGATATTTCTATCAACTGTTTCAGTAAATGATTCTAATGACGTGTGATGTAAGTCAAGGGACACAGAAGAAGTGAACACACAAAATGTAAAAATTGTTTCAAAACCAGATTTCTTTACCTTATATTGATATTTTATACCTAAATAAGTTTTTTGAATCCACACACAATTGTTGATATATTGAAATTATCACAGTAGTTGATGTGAATATGTCACAGTAAAAGCATCTGAGGAGATGACTCAGAACGAGTGTTTCGACAAAATGTAAATAATCATTCAAACAGGACTTCCTCTTCTTATACAGAGCGGTGCCGGGTATTACAGCTAATACCATATCCCGCCTAATTCCAGCACACACCACCCCCAGATACTGGGAGACAGAAACCAGGGTGAGGGTGGTGGACTGTTACTGCCGGCCCTGGAGATGTAAGATGGGACTGTCTGAGGCAGGACAGGTGGGCAGTGGGATGCATGTGTCTCTACATCGCCGCTCCTGTAGTGTCTGTGTACAGAGATGTGACAGACATGGGGAGCGTCACCAGAACACCATGTCCCCTACTCACGGCACACAGGCCACCCTCCACCATGGTGTTGTACTGGATGTGGGGAGGGGACGATTGACATTCACTGATCTAGACAGACAGGTTGTTCTAGTCAAGTATAATGAGCGATTCAATGTCAGTGGTTCAATGAGCCACTCGTCCCCATGTTCGGTGTTAGGTTTCCGTATTCTGGCCTAACTGTGTCGAAGTCTGATCAGCGGAGAGGACATCGACATGACTGACACAAAGAAGGCTCTCATCTACCAGGCGCTGGAATAGAGAATTAACTGGCTATATGGGCCACCAACTGGTGGTGGGTAGTTCTTCATTGCGACCGCCTGTTGTGTTCTCTTCATCCATTAATAGGAGGGCAGGATCTGAGCTGAAATGGGGTTTATCGTCGTACTTGAGAATATTTCGCTCATATGACCACGTGCATGCGTGTGTATGTGTGGCTGCTTGTACTAGCCCAGACTTAAGCTGGTTTTATAGTGCTGGCTCACTGAGATACCATGCCGCTGTTAAGCATGAATACCCCACTCAAACTCATTCTACTGACTCCGAGTGGTTGATAATATGAGAAACATGGAGAAATTAAAGTACTTAAAGTACTGATGTATATAAGTAACTTATCATTTAAGATATCCGCCAAGATCCGGGTCAGAATTTGTCTTCAACAACCCACGCTTGTCATAAGAGGCGACTTACGGGACTAGGTGGTCAGGTTCGCTGACTTGGCTGACAAATGCCATCGTGTTCCATTTGCGTAGAACGTTGCTCATAACGTTATTTACTGGACTGTCTGGTCTAGACTTGATTATTTGCAGACTGCCACCATATAGCTGGAATATTGGTGAGTGCGGCATTAAACAAAAAAAAGCCCAAACAAACAAATAAATCAATTAACATGAACCTAAGCCTGGAAATACAATTTGAAGACAAGAGGGTAAAACCGGTTATCTGTCATACTACTGGTCAAAAGCAATGGTTATCAACAGAAATGTAGATTATATCTAATATTGATTATGCTCTCATATTATGAAACCAACGTTGCCTCCTTTAACAATTCGAGACTATATATTTGTGAAAACGGAAGTTCAATATAAACACGCTTTCGCAACACACATTCAAGTAAAACCACACTGATCATTGTTTTCAATACCTGTGGGTTTATTATTGTTACGGTATACGTGTAGAAATAAGCCCTTCTTGTGTTGCCGTTACTGCATAGATGTTTTAAAAATTACTTGCGGCAAAAGCAAAATATATGTTACTGATAGTCCTTGAACAGGCATTATAAAATCATTACAGTGATACCCGTGAAGATCCTGGTTGGAACTAATCTTCAGTAACTTATGTTTGTCGGAATCGGGTGGTCAGGCTCGCTGTCTTGGTTGACACATGTCATCGTTTCCAAATTGCGTCGAACGATGCTCATGATGTCGATCACTGGACTGTCTGGTCCAGACTCGATTATTTACAGACTGCCGCCATATAGCTTGGAATATTGCATTAACCAACCAACCAACCACCACTGTGATTTCCACAGATTCAGCTGACTCGATGTCTAAAGTGTCGCGGTAAGAGAAAGAAAAACAGTTTTTCTCACTGCTCTCCTTCGACAACAAATTTCACAATTGTCCAAACACCTTTACTGCTAAAAGTCAGGTTCTGGTTCTGTCAGTGATGAGGGTATGGACTAGTGTTTACTCAATATACACAGCGTATGGGCAAATGACGTTTTTTCTGAATCCTTGCACTTAGCAATTGCAGAAACTGTTGTATGAATCCTATACACCTCCAAGGCCGTGGCAATAAACCATGACTTCTCCGTTGAGCGTTTACTCAGGAAGTGGTCCCCAAAGGACGCTACCGTCATCCAAGGCTGCATGAGTTGTCTCCCATATCTGTATCTACCATACATGTCCAAACACTACCGAAACTATACAAACGGAATGTTCTGGAAACCCTGTAGAAACACATATTCAACATTTTAAGTCAAGCAACATGTTCAGATTTCACTGAAGTCACACTACATATCGATTTAGTTGATTCTCCCCCACCCGTATTCCACCCAAACAGTAATAACAGTTGCAGAGACACAAACATCCTACAACAGTTTCAATGTATATTTGATATATGTGCCCACCTTTGTTAAATTAATGGCGAGATACGGCTGCATGTAACTCATGGATGACTTCTGAAAACTGTATCATGCGATGTACACAAACAAGAGCAATTTTAAAAGCTGTCTAAACTTAGAATGCTAGAAGAGAACTAAAGGTAATTCCTAATGTCACTTTACTGGAATCACACAATATATTGCTATATTATAATGTAAATTCTTTTAAGTTCCAACTGAACATTTTGTTGAAGTATTTAATACAAAGAGAAATATTCAATAATGATGTCTAACTTCTTTACTCATCACCTTTATTCTATTCTTCTCATCACCTCTATTCTATTCCGCTGTTCATACAACATACTTGGACTTGTAATCCTTGTTGATCGTTCTGTTGCATTCTGCTTAATACTGCCTTAGTACAAGCACATGATACAGCAACAGGAGCTGATAATATCCACTATCAGCTTATAAAACATTTACCGAACTCATGTCTTGAAACACTTTTAAGTATTTTTGATAATATTTGGACAACTGGACATTTCCTCCTTCACGGCGTAATGCCATTGTTGTCCCTATACCTAAGCCTGGCCAGGATCATACTGATCCATCTAACTATAGACCTATTTGATTGACGAGCTGCGTTAGTAAAACCATGGAACGCATGGTCAATAATCGACTGGTATGTTTTTTAGAAACCAATAATCTTATCATGAGCATTCAGTGTGGTTTTCGAAGTGCTATTGACCATTTGGTTCGCTTTGAATCATTCGTTAAAAATTCCATTGTAAATAACCAACATGCTGTATCAATCTTTTTCGACCTGGAAAAGGCTTACGGTACAACATGGAAACATGGTATTTTAAACGATTTACATGACTTTGGTTACCTCATTTTACATCTCAGAGTTTTTAACTGACGGGCAATTTCAAGTCCGTGTGGGCTCAACCCTGTCTGATCATTATAATCAGGATCAGGGTGTCCCACAAGGCAGTAGTTTGTCTGTGACATTATGTAGTATTAAAATAAATAGCCTTTCAAGGGTTTTAAATGATTCAGTCTATGGATCACTTTTAATGTTTCTTGTCGTGGTAAAAATATGCAAACAATAGAGAGACAACTACAATTATGTCTCAATAAAATTCATAAATGGTGTCTTGAAAACGGTTTTAAATTTTCAAAATCCAAAACAAAAAGTATACATTTCTGTAGAAAGTATAAAACGCACAAAGACCCAGAACTATTTTTAAATGACATACCCATCAAGGTTGTCAAAGAGGCCAAGTTTTTAGGACTTATTTTTGACTCTCATCTGACTTTCTTACCACATATTAAATACCTAAAGAATAAATGCCTGAAGGCACTTGACTTGTTGAAAGTCGTGTCTAATTCAAAGTGGGGAGGGGATCAAGCTACCCTCCCCCACCTATATCGATCATTGGTCCGCTCGAAACTTGATTATGGCTCCATCGTATATGGTGGAGCCTCCAAAAGCAACCTAAAACTACTTGATTCTGTCCACCACCAAGGCCTAAGACTCTGTCTTCGGTCTTTTCGAACTTCTCCTGCTGACAGTCTCTACGTTGAGGCAGGTGAGCCATCTCTTGCACAACGCCGTATCAAACTATCTTTACAGTATATTACAAAACTATATTCCAACGAATCAAACCCTGCATATAACTGTCTTTCACCCTCTTTATGAGGATTTATACAACAAGACATCTTCTCTTGTTCTGCCTGTTGGGCACAGAATTAAACTTTTCTTTCTGCTGCCGGCATTGATCTTGAAACTGTAGCTTCGTCCCGTCTTCTTTCTTCTCCGCCTTGGCAATTGGTGAGGCCACAAGTTGACCTAACTTTAACTACATTTAAATAATCAGACACAAATGAATTACAGTATAAACAAGAATTTAGTCAATTAAGAAATAAATATAATACATACAAATCCTTATTTACAGATGGGTTCAAGGACGGTGGTGCGGTTGCTTGTGCCATTGTCATTGGATCCAGAAGAATATCTTCTCAATTACCAAATAACAGTTCTGTTTTCACAGCAGAAGCTCACCCCATAGTAACAGTTCTTAGATATATCAATAAACACTGTAAATATAAACAATACATAATCTTTTCCGATTCTTGTTCGTGCCTTCAGGCCATTAAAAACCGTTTTTGTAAGCATCAATTTTTGATAGAAATTATTGAATTGTATAATGAACTTGCTACTGGCCAATGCGACATCGTCTTTTGTTGGTTACCCAGCCATGTTGGTATTTCTGGGTACACAATGGCTGATCTTGTTGCCAAGACAGCACTCAATAAATCTGTGACACCACTTCTTATCCCATACTCTGATTACAAAGCTCTGATTAGATCGTACATCCGTGATCTGGTGCAGAAGAAGTGGGACACCCAAATGGGTGTAAATAAATTACATGAAATAAAACCCTATATCGGTTACACTTACTTGGGTTGTCAGTCCAGACTTGAAGAGGTCATTATACGACGATGTCGTTGTGGCCACACAAGATATACTCATGCATACCTATTGAAAGGTGAGGAACCTCCGTTTTGTATC